CTTCCTTTTCTCGGCGTAAGAGAAGAAAACCGGGCATACCCCGTTCCAGTTTCTATAATCGTTGAACGGTGAGACTAACCGTCGTCGCAGACTGACCAGAGCATTTTTAGACGAATACGAGTTGCGCTGTTCCGTTTACGATCATGCCACGTGCTCTCACGTTTAAACGGCCGAACTGTTGAGCCGAGAGAGGTGGGTGCAACGCGTGTGCGTGCTCTTTAACGCGGGAGCGTGACACAATTAAGCGGGATCGGTGTCGGAGGAGAGGAGTTGTTACGAGAGTCGCGGCTAGATAATTAAGGGTGAAAAGCGCGATAGAGTGTCCACGTGACGAGCATTTCTCGCCGCGACTAATATGCGCGTTCATTCCGCTTAATAACGATGTTGATCACACCCATGTGCCGCTCGGCTAATTGGACCAATTAAGCGGTGGCTGTTGTTGCTTCGGCCGATCATGCGGCCGCGTACCGCTGCGACGAAAATTTCTGCTCGATTAATTCCTCCGTTCGCATCATTCGCGTAGGAAGTTCCAAACACTTTACTTCGGTATCTGCAGCGCGTTCGTTAAAGATTGGACCACTTTTTGAAATTTATTACTAACTTCGCGATCTATCGCCAACGTAGAGATCTCTTCGAGCTTTCGTGAAAGAAAAACGATAACAGACATAATTGTTGCCTTTTGCTGCTTACTCTGCTCTATTTTGCTCTATTTTGAAACTTTCTCAGTTGAGCTCCATTCTTTTATGAACACTCTGTATCGAGGAAAGTCGAAAATTCGGGTTAGCCATGCCTAGACAAGCTTACCTCCTAAGAATAACAGAAGTCGATTGAAGAGTAGCTGAGCGCAAATAAATGGTGGAAACAAAACGATCCCAGTTGGTCAGAGAGAAAGGAGCACGTCAGTTTCAGGCACAAGGTTATGCAAGCAGGGAGACCCGAGGTTTTCGACCTGATTTTATAAATCTTCGATATCTGTGCCTCGCATCGTGCAAACTCCTTTGTATGTATGTATGTCCTTTCTTCTGGCTACACGTGTTGCGGCGCTCCGGGCGACATTTTCATTCTCTCTCTCGCTCTCTTTCTTCCTCCTTTGTCCCTCTTCTTCGCGAGAGAAGAACTGGTTTGTCTCTGTTCGTGCCTGAGCATGGAAAAATTTTCCATAGACTCTACTTCCACCATGCTCTCTGAACCCACCTTTCGAAACGGTGGCCGATCTTTTTCGAAGCTTGTAGAAATCGTTTCGATTCTATCCTTCGTGAGAAGGAGTGGAAGAGAACGACTACCAGGGTTTGTCGATTTTCGAATAAACTTGGCAATTGGATCGAATCAATAGCGCATCGGAGGATCGTGGAATTTGGATTTGCTACAATGGGACGTGAATTAAGGGACGTTTGTCAACATTCTCTTCGTTCTCTCGATAACGAGACGATTGTGTACAGCATCTCCCGCGGCCAAAAATTGCTCTCGTGCTTCCAAAACGGAGCAAGCAGATTATAGAAAATTATACCGTGTCCGAAAGTTAATTACGTCGGCGGGAAAATGGTCCAAGTAGTAATTTCACGGTAGTCGAACGGTGAGAAGGTAGAATTTCCAGAAATGCAGTATTCCTGGCTGTGTACAGTCGGTGTAAGAAATACAGCGATATCGTAAATTCGAAGTACACTTTATTTTAACTCTTTGCGCTCGAACCCCGGGATATTTTACCTTTTAAACTCTCTGTGGACCCTTTGCCTGCAGAAAAATAATACGCATACAGTTTAACCCTTATGTCTATAACCAGAATTCTCGTCTACTTTCTGATAACAAAATTCTAAACTTGAGGCAAACACGGATAAGAAATGTGCAAAGTAACAGCGATCTGGCTTGGAAGACCAAATATTTGAAGTGAGAATTATGCAAAAGGGTACCCGGTTATTGACATAAAATGTATACGTTGTCTAAGCAATAATTGGCCAGAAAATAATTTCGAAAAGAAAATACGACCGTAAAGAGTTAATACAGATCGCGATAAAAGCGTCTCAGATTAAGATCAATGATTAAGCGACGAGAATTTTTTGTTATCCCTAACTAAGGACCACCCTGGACATTCTTATCGGTTGCACCGTCGATACAGAGACGATTAAATACACGTTAAGATTTGTGTAACGACACAGACCGATTGAGATAGGGCCCTTTAATTCGAGCGGCGGAACAGTTGACCGAGGGAGAGATACTTACCGTGGAACTCATTTCGCCGGCGTTTGAATATTTAAAAGGAAGATAGGCCATAAAAGTTGACAGCTTGCATGAAACATGCCTACGCTTGTCACTACGTAATACGGGTTTACTTATTCATCAGCCCCTACCGAGTGATATTCATCTGCGGGCTGTATTATGCATACGGTGAAAAATTCACGAATGTCATGTTCCCATTCCACGCGTGTGTCGATGATTGATCTTTCCTTCTTCTAATGAAAATCTAGTTTCTTCTCGTGTCAAAAAATTTCATTTTCTTTCTTTCTTTTAACACGTTGAATACCGTGTGTTGGTAATCGGTGGCCAAAATTAGCGAAAGCGTTTAGAAAGCGTTTAATTTGAATAAATGGCGATATTTGTAAAAATTTTATCTAACGCATCACACAGCGTACTTAACCCTTTGACTGCTGGCAGTTTAAGCATATGTTACGTTAGTTCAATCACTGTTTTGTAACATAAATAATATACGAATATAAAATTATGAAATTTGTAAAATAAATAATACTGTAGCAGCGTAACTTTCCACCGTCGCAATCACGGAAAAGCAAGACGCGGACGATTTGAAATTACTGGAAAGGGGGTGACGTCGCGATAAACCTCCTGCCCAAATTCTCACCAAGTCCCTCCTCACTAAAGGTACAACTTCCGACCTCTGAGTTTAAAAGTCCCCGCGCGTCTAAGGCACGGGTCTCCTAGGTAGCCTTACTGACGAGTCAACCGCGAACCTCCAGAGCAAAGACTTGTATCGATAAAGACTTCACCGGACTACCGTGTGGGTGCATTGCGTAACCCAATAACACGCATCTTCATTATCCTTCCATAGTATCCAACGTTCGATTATCACCGAGCGTCTATAGCAGTCAAAGGGTTAAATAGCTCCATTTCTAACTGTTCACGTATTATTTACGCATATTGGGATGCGTTGTATTTAAATAAAAAATTCTTCCGGCATTCAACGCGTTAATATCTTCCATCGTAGTCTTCCTTTCCTTAGAAACTCAGGTAACCCAAAAAAGTCTGCAAAAATTTCGTTCTACTCTTATTTCCCTCTACGAATCACGTGTCAGAGTACACGTGGTGTTTATCGCCTTCGATAAACTTGGAACAATTAAGTAACGAAGGTCAAAATACGAAGGCATTCGATCTTCTTGCGTAACACGAACAGAGTAGGAAACGTTTCGTAATTTTGTTTCTCTTTTGTTCTTCTTCTGTTTCTCGCCTCGTCCAAAAAAGTTGGACGAAGAAGATAAAGAGAGAGATAGTTGGTGTAACTTGTTAAGGTGAGAGTGAACGTTTCCCACACGAGCTTCGTAATTTATCATCGACACGGCTCGCGCGTCATTTGCATTAT